GGAATGCCTGTGGAGGACTAATACATCCCTCTCCATCTCCTAAGGGCTCAGAATAGTCTTCCAGCACCCATATGTCCAGAGTCCTTTTTATTTTAAAACAATATGAACATTCTCTGGCCTTTTGCCTGTGGAGGACTAATGCATCCCTCTCCATCTCCTAAGGGCTCAGAATAGTCTTCCAGCACCCATATGTCCAGAACCCTTTTTATTTTAAAACAATACGAACATTCTCTGGCCTTGTAGCTTTTGTCAGCAGTTTTGTGACCTCACTCTTCCTCTATTTTGCTTTCCATCCTTCCTTCTCCTGTGTTCCTTCTTACCTGTTTTTTTTCTCCTCCTCCCATCTAGAGCTCAACTGTTCATGTTTTCTCCCTGTCCCCAGACAGTGAGGGTTTGTAGGCCATAAATTTCTTCTCTCTCCACTCAGGCTTTTCCACTGGAAGACATGGAGCATGTGTCTAACAAGGATGATGTGAAAACTTCCCTTAGGAAAGTGGTCAAAGAGGTGAGAAGTGGATAGTGCATGTTAATGAGTGGCTGGGGAGATCCCACTGGGGATGTGCCTGGAGAGCAGAGGAAGCTTAAACCATGGGATGTAGGTGAGATTACTTGGAGAGAAACTCAGCGTGAGAAGTCCATGGTATCTAGTAGCCATTCTCTATCTACCCATACTGGGGATGTGCCTGGAGAGCAGAGGAAGCTTAAACCATGGGCTGTGGGTGAGATTACTTGGAGAGAAACTCAGTGTGAGAAGTCCATGGTATCCAGTAGCCATTCTCTATCTACCCACGAAATAGGATATATTCATAGGAATAGAGTTTTACCACGAAGAACAGATTTCAAGAGGGACCTGAAATGTGTTTCCCCACACTGAGGGAAAGGGCCTGATCCATGGAGCAGTGCACCTTTTCATACAGGTTTGTTTTCTTTCTGCCCTTCCCAGACGTCTCACGAGATGATGATGCAGTGTGTGTCCAGGGTTGTCTCACATCCGCTGCACGGTGAGTCCTGTCCCTCTGCCTGGCAGCCCCTCTAGGCTGAGGATCACCCCAAAACCCTGTGCACTCACACACCTCTCCATCATATGAGACTGATGCTCATGTTGGCCTTCAGGGTCTAACCCAGCCAAGCAATGAGGTGCTCTCTTCCCTTTCATCCAAGAGCTTGTCCTAGAGATCCTATTAAGATGAGGGCCAGTAGCAGCCTTCCAGTGCCTAAAGGGGCTCCAAGAGAGCTGCAGAGGGACTTGGGACAAGGGCCTGGAGGGACAGGACAAAGGGAATGGTTTTTCACTGCCAGAGGGCAGGGACAGATGGGATATTGGGAAGGAATTCCTCCCTGTGAGGTGCTGAGACACTGGCACAGGTTGCCCAGAGCAGCTGTGGCTGCTCCATCCCTGGGAGTGTTCCAGGCCAGGTTGGACAGGGCTTAGAGCAACCTGGGCTGGTGGAAGGTGTCCCTGCCCATGGCATGGGATTTGGAAAAAGATGATCTATAAGGTCACTTCCAATCCAAACCTGTCTATGATTCTATGAAATCCTTTCTGTCACTTATAGGCTCAGGGAAGGCACCAGTTTGTAATGAGTCTTGCAGTGGTGAGGACCACTGAGAGGAGCTGGAGGTGCTGTGAGTTGAGGGAAGGGAGAGCAGAAGGGTCATGTTTCATTTTCCTTCACATCCATTGCACCCCAAACTGGATTTGTTTCTTTGTCAGCTCTGTGTTTCTTTCCTCCTAGTGATCTCCATGCGCTGCATGGTCCAGTTCGTAGGCCGAGAAGTCAAATACAGGTGAGTGGCTGCAGCTCTGAAGGGTTTGGACATACAGAAGTGCAAATCTGGGAGTCAGAGTGCCAGGTGCTCCTATACCATGGGAAGTACAGCAACCCAGGAAGGTTTGGGAGACCAAAAAGTGAATCTGAGCTGTGATTAGAGGGTGGGTGACTGCAGGGTGAAGGGACATGGGAAGCTGGGGCTTTGTCCCTAGTGTGCCTCTGTTCCACCTGGTGCCCATGGGGTTTTGGTGGCTGTAACACACCTTGCTGATCACATAGTGAGTCTCCTACCTTTTGGCTTTAGGTGTTAATGGAAAGGGATGTCAGCAGGGAGGCAGGATGGATAACACAAAGCCTTGCTGCAGCCCTGCTAGTATGCAGAGTTTTTCCAAGCTCTTTTCAGGAATACCTCCCTCCCTGCAGGGCAAAACTGCATGTGCAGCCACATGAAGGCATGTTAGCTAACCCACAACAACCAGCACAAGTTTCCAGAGGCAGGACAGGGTTCTTGGGCTGAGAATCAACCTTATCAAACCATATTATGTGCTGTGGTTGCAGCACATGTGTCTACTCACACAAAGCCAAGCAGAGCTCTTGTACCTTCAGCATTGAACAGTTTTCAGCACGTTGAGTGTTGTCCCAGGTGTTATTGCAGACTGGCAGAGTGCAGACATGACCTTCCTTCCCTCAAACCTTCCTGTTTTGAGGAGAATAAGCAGGACAGAGCTGTCTACTGCTGGAATGATGACTGGGGGAGACACTGCTGTGGCTGGGGGCTGCAGAATGCAGGTGGAGCTGCATGGGCCAGAGATGGAACAACTCCTGCACACTTACAGCTCTTTTCCTTTCTTGGCAGTGGTGTGTTCAGTGCCATTGGCAGGATATTTAAGGAAGAAGGGATCCTGGGATTCTTTGTGTACGTGAGTTGTTTAAATACCTTCTCCCACAGTCCAGAGGCACTGATGGCTCTCCTGGCTGCTCTGCCAACCTCAGCTACTCATACTGAGCTGAAACCTTGTCTGACCAGGACTCTCACATCACTCCCATGAGCACAGATGCAATCTGTGCCTTTGACAGTGTTCCAGTTTGACCATTAAGTTTGCCCCAGATGTTATCTTCAATCAAACCTTCAGAGCCCATAGGAAACCTGTACTTTTTCTTACCTTTCTTTTTCCCCTTGATGCTTCTTTGTGTTTCAGTGAAGGGCCATTTAAAGCATTTGTTTGTGCAACAGGCACCAAGATCAAGTGCAACAATAAGATCCCTTGTTGAAATGAAAACCAGGGCCTGGATAAGAAGCACATTCCTCTGCAGAGCACCGTGGGTGCTTGTAATGAGCTGGTGGTTCATGCTGGCAGCAGGTTTGCCTGTGTGGTGGGAGTATAATCTGCCCCAGCTCAGCAGTGTCACTGCCTGGACTGGGAGGAGCTGAAAGGTGCTTCCAGCTGCTTCCAGAGCGTGGCAAATTGGTGGCATCACTGAAATGGGAGTCGAGTGGACACCTTTTTGCTTGAATCCTTAATTAATGCTTTGTGCCTTTCTTTTTCATGTCTACATAAAAGCAGAACCACCTCTGCTCATGGTGGGGAGAGAAATCACTTTGTTATGTCAATAACAGTAAAGAAATTTTGGGAGGGGTTTTCAGGCCTGATGCCTTTGGCTCCTGCCATGACAAAATTTGGGCCTTCAGATGAAACATGAATTCATCAGGAAGAGGGAAGCAATCACAGGGGGTCTTGCCCTGTCCTTCCCCAAGGGGAAAGGTGCAGAGACCCCATCAATTAAGTCACTGCATCTTCCTCTGCAGCCCACAGCTCTGCTGAGCTGTGCAGCTCCCAGTCTCCTCCATTAAATACAGGTTCCTCTGGGGTTGTCCCTGTGTGTGGGGCTGCCCACAACCCTCCACCTCCCCAGGAAGTAATATGAAAGAAGGCACCACATTCCCTTCCATCCACATAAAATAAACACCGTTGGTAGCCTAATTAAACTTAATAGTTCACAGGAAAGGCTTTAACACAACCCCAAATGTCTCAGGAGGGCTCTGAAGTTCTACATGCTCTATAACCCTGTGAGGAAATCTCACTGCTGTGAGGGGAGCACAAACTGCATCTGAGGGACCAAACTGCTGGTTTTCTCCTCTCAGCTTTCCTGATGCAATCCCAACACATTCACTCCCTTAAAATCCTTGCAGTGCCCTTGTTTCTTGTGGCCTTACAACCTCTACACAGCAATAACAGCAGCACATGCTCTCTGGAAGTGTGCCTGGCTAGAGATAAAGACTTCTCAGGGGATGGATTTATCTCCCTTCCCCTCATATCTGCAGCAGGCTCCTGCCAGGCCAGAAAGGTGTTCCCTGAGCTCCAAAACTGCTGTGCATGGCCAGCTCAAAGGTGGCTTGTCCCAGCTCCTTGGCACTGGGATTTCTCCCTCTGGGTCACATCCCTGTACATCATGCAGGATTCCTCATCTGCCTGCTGCTGTGCCAGCTTTTCATCAGCTTTCAAAAATATTCCTAGTCCAGATCTTGGACATCTCACCAGGTGTGAGAATTGTGGCACTCGCTTTATTATGTCAATAATAGTAAAGGCAGCTCTGAAATTTCAGGAGAGGATTTCAGGCCTGATGCCTTTACCTTGTTGGGTTTTATTAGTCCCTTTCTGCAGCTTTCTCAGAACCCTGGTCTCCAGCATCCCATAAGCTCAGGGCCAGCATCTGTCCTGAGTTTGGAGGGGAGAGAGGATTGGGATCCTTTTTGCAAGTGGAACAAATGATCCAATTCTCTATCAACACATGGGTGAGGTTTTCCTTATGTGGCTGCCTGCTGCTTCTGGACTTTATTAAGCTCCCATTGTATCTGCAGCAGCTCAGGAGCTTCAGACCTGACTTTGAGTTAAGAGAAAGGATGTTTTTTACAAAGGCTGAAAGCTAAAGCAAAGCAGACCATCTCTTTGGGACCAGAGAGCTTTGATTCCTTTGTCCTGTCTGCTGCTCTCATGTATCACATCTTTGAAGCCAGCAGATCTTCTGTTGAAGACTTCTGCTGTGCTTGGCCCCTGAGACCTCAGCTGCACCCCCAGAGCTGCCAAGGCCTTGACAATACACAGGTTTTCTCCAAAAAGTGCAAACCCTGACACCAACTGAGCACAGCACACTGGATCAGAGTCCCAATTGCTGCTCTGCTGCTGCAGCTAAGACAGCAGGAAACAAAATGACCCCCTGCTCCAAAGAGACAGTGTTGTGTTTGGGAAGAAATGAAGGCTCAGACTAGTGTGCTTGGAGGTGGCTCTTTGGTGGCTCTCACTTGTGTGGGTCTCCACAGCCTCATTTTCAGAAGAACTGACCATATCTGCTGGTGAAACACAGGTTTAACACACACTTGGATCCTTTTGCAGTACAACAACTCCTGCAAAAGCAGGAAACCCTTTGCATGGTGCCTGCACCAGTGCAACAGATGCTGCTGGAGCACCAACAAACTGGAGAAACCCTCTGGGGTGTGTTTTGTTAGTGGTTTTAGTGCCATTATCTGCAGAAGTTGGGGCTGCTGGTGCTGTTGGAGTTTCAGTGTGTCAGTGGGAGGAATAAGCCAAAGAACTGTGCTCCTGGGGGCAACAGGGACTGGGAAAAATCAGAGGGACGTGAGTGCTGCCCCCAGTTAATCCCACGTTGCAGTAGAGCAGGTTGAGCAGGAACAACCCCCCCTCATTTCAATTTCTAAAAGGAGGGAGTTTCCACAAGGAGATGAACTTCTCACTTTGCATCTGAAAAATCATCTGCAAAATGAGCTTAATTGAAACCACTTCATCTGTGTCTCCTTTGGGTTTCTGAGCAGGAGGGATTTGGGATAGAATAAAGGGACTTGAGTCATACCCAAACAACAGATCCCAAACTTCCCACTCCAGAACATCCCCAGCCTGTGCAGCACGTGGAGTACCATATTTGAAGGTTGGGAGAGCTCTTACCTGAACTCTCTCCTCCCAGAGTAAAGATGCATTTTGGGGAGTGGAGTTCCTACATGCTGGTGGAGGGAAGAAGGGCTGGGCACCTGGGAAGGTGGCATTGGGACCCTCCTGCACCTCACACCTCTCCTTTTGCCATTGCAGTGGGTTAGTCCCTCACATCCTGGGGGATGTCATCTTCCTCTGGTGCTGCAACCTCTTGGCTCACTTCATCAACACCTATGCAGTGGACGATAACGTGAGTGGAAGTGCCCAAGGGAGGGTTTGGGGGTCTGTACCAAGCACCTGCAGTTGGAAGGAGTTACTGGGAAGTGGGGCCTAATTTAATACAGATGCTGGGCTTGGGGTATGTCCCTGTGGGAGTGCTGAGGGGGCTGTGTTGGATCAGGGCTGTGCTTCACCTGCAGTTTGGGGCATCAGATTTGACAGCAAATGCCTTCCCAGATTCTCAGCTGTGATGCATGTGGTCACTGCTGCTTTCTGCCTTGTTCCTCTTATTCCCCATGCCCTTTGCCTCAGGCTCAGGGGGATGTCACATAATGCCAGTGACAGCCTGGTGTCACCACCCTCCTCCACAACACCTTTGGTTTCTCTTTGCAGTTCAGCCAAGCATCAGTGATCCGGAGCTACACGAAGTTTGTGATGGGGGTATGTAGCCAACTGCAACATCCTTTCTCCTCTCACTGCCACCTGTGGGGTGAGGGCTCATGCTCTGGGGGCAGAGACTGGTCTGTGTATTCAAACAAGGATAACTTTGCTAACATGCAAAGGCTGGAAATGGCCTTTTTGACATGGTGAGCATGAGAGAGGCTACTGGTTTTCTGTGCTTTCAGATTGCTGTGAGCATGCTGACGTACCCATTCCTTCTTGTGGGAGATCTCATGGCAGTGAACAACTGTGGGTATGTCTGTCACACTGAGATCTAAAGCTTTCCCTTCCTTTCTTACAGCCCCTTGTTGTCTGAAACTGCTGCTAACGACCGTAAAGCTTTCATACAGCACCATAAACTCTGTGGCACCTCGCAGAGTTGGCTCGTTTCCTGTCCCAGGTTGCTTATAATTTTAGATCAGAGGGCACATACACGAGCAGCAGCAAAGCTCAAGTGGAGAGAAATAGGGAGAGTCGTGGTGGTGTGGTCCAATCTGAGCTAGTCTGGGGGCAGAAGGGATCTGGAGAGCAGCACGAGGGAAGCAAAGCTCTTACTGCAGTGATGGGTGCAGGACCAAATCTGCCTTCCCAGTCCCACTGCTGCAAATCTGCATTCATGCTCATGGGATGGGGGTGGGATCCAAGGCTCTGGTGTCATGTTTTCCCTATATCTGCTGGCTCTTGAAGGTGTAGATAGAGTCCTGGACTCTTAATGTCTCCAGGTGACACTCCTTGTTTGCACACTGCAGGGGTAATTAAATTACATGATCTGGTGCATTGTAAATAACGAGCTGGTCGTTTGGCTGCCAGCCTGGTGCAGACACTGTTTCTGTGTCCTCACTTAGACTTAGTGCTGCTCTTGTGTTACCTGTGTGGATAATGTGACATCCACCTCAGCTGTTCCTTGTTGCCATGCAGGTTGCGTGCTGGGCTCCCTCCCTACGCTCCTGCCTTTGCATCCTGGATCCACTGCTGGAGGTATCTCAGTGCTCAGGTGAGGGAGTGGGGCACACACTGGGCTTTGGGCTCTGCTTCTTCCCAAGGCCACCAGCATTCCCCAAAAGTGCCTGTGTTGCGTCCTCGATGTGCTGTGTAACCTGTTTCTATCCCCCTAATGCTGGCACTGGTACCAGGCATGGCAGTGCTGCTCTGCCCATTGCATGCCCTGAGCTTGCAGCCTGCAAACTTTTTACACACAGCAAAATGTCTCTGCCCCTCTCCATCCTTCATCCCTGGAGGAACTCCAGCACCCACAGGGCTGAAACTGACTTTCTCCTCCATAGCAGCCCGGGGTGCCCAGGCCTTGCAGTCCTGCTGTGGGCATGAGTCAGTCCCTGCTAAACCAGCTGCAGTTCGTGCCTGGCTCTCCAGCTGCCCTGACCCTGTGCTCTCCTCTCCAGGGACAGCTGTTCCGTGGCTCCAGCCTGTTGTTCCGCAGGGCTCCAATCCCTGCTGCCTCCTTCCCCATCGACTGAGTCCTTGGCAGGGAGAGCTGATGAACTTGGACTCCTCAAGAAACCCCAAGCTTGTTTCGATATATGTCTATTTTTATTTTCCAATCCAAAGTCCATGGTGCCAGAACAAGACACCTCCTCTCCAGCAAGGCCAGCACTAGGCTGGCTTCTGGACATCAGGCTCCAGCTGGACCAAAGCTCCATCCTCATGGCTGTCTCGACTGGGATGTGTAGCAGAGTGAGCAGAAGGGCATTATCTTGTCTCTTTGGTCCAGGCTGTAGCTCTGGAGTCACTGGGAAATTCCAGGAATCCAGAAAATACCCAGGTACTAAAGGAGCCAGCCCTGAGATACAGGGACAAAAGACTGCTTTGTTCTGCCTGAGCTGAGAAGCAGCAGGAGATCCAAGGTCACCTGGCTGGGAAGGTTACACCAGGTGACTAACCTCCTGCCTCATCTCGCCTGGAGAGGACATGCCTGTGTGTGGCAGGTAGCTCATCCTGAGCAGGATCAGCCTGGGATCCATATTTAAGGTTTGAGGGTACCTGGGAGCAACTTCACCTCCCATGGGCACGAAAGGAAAATTACAGGATCAAAACAGCAAAGGGAAACAGAGTCTCACTACAAAGAACAGCAGAGTCCCAAAGAGACAGGTACGGCTCAGCTCAGGGCAGCGCTGGGACACGGGGACAGCACCTGGGGAGGGATGTGCACTGCCTGTGTCACTGCTTGGGAAGGATTTTAGCTGTGGGATGGGCTGTATTAGGAGCTGCTGGATGTGGGCTGGGCAGGCAGCCTGCACACACCTCTCAGAGGAGATGGCTGCTGGGTAGGACTGGCCTGAGTGCATTGATGAGCATCTCCCAGCCAGGAGCCCTGCAGGGCTCCCAAACCTTGGCATCCCCTTCACTGATGGACACATCCCCTGGGATGCTGATAGCTGCACACAGGGCTGCCCTGCAGCAGGGGCACGTGGTCCAGTGCTGTCTGGAACAAAGGAATAACCCCTGAGCTGGCCAAAGGCTCACGAGGTGTCAGGGTCGAGGGCTCGTAGCTCATGTGTAGCAGAGCTCAGCAGTGGCAGCAGGGCAAGATCTGTGCTCAGCTCCCCAGACAAGAGATTTTTTTTGCACCAGTCTGTGTTGTGACAGCAGCCAGGCAGATTCCCCCCCCATTCTGGTTCCCCACGAAGCAGTCTTTTGCGCAGAGGTGATGCTGCACTCCCTGGAAGGTTTTGGGGTGCTTGAGCAGGTTCCTGTGTGGTGCTGCAGCAGCAGTTGGGGTCACATCTCATTTTGATCCTTTGGGAGACCCAACCTGCCATCACACAGGTTTTTTCCTCCACCAGACAGGGTCGATCCACACCTCCCAGCCAGGGCTTGCAGGACAGTGTGGTGGTACATGCTGGGACTGGCAGTCCCCACCCAGCTCCCTTCGGTGTTGTGAAGTCGGTCCTGTCCTCCCTCCCTCCCTCCCTGTTTGTGTTACAGTAACAGAAGTTAAATAATGCATGGCCCTGTTCCCTAACACCAGAGATGATTTTAAAGAGGATTTAACCATGCTGCAAAAATACAGCTATAAAACAACTTCTGGGTGTTTCCTTTTTTTTTTTTTAAAAGTGTGATTTTTTTTTTCTCTGCATAACAGGCCCCTTCAACTCACAGAGCTTTCAGTTTAAGACACTTCCTTTGTTTTTTCCCCAAAGCAGGGGCTAAACCAGCTGTTAGAAACTCAGATTCCTCCTGGTTTTCCTCACCTCCATGAAAGGTGGGCAGGTTTAGACTGGGCAAACTGCATTGGGTGCCCCTGGAGTGAGGGTGGAGGCAGCAGCAGGTTTGGCTGCTTGAAATAGCCAACGTGAAGGTAGGTTTGGGGAGTTCAAATTGACCCTGAGCCTTCTGGAAGGAATGTTGGAGACCTTTAGCTGCTGTCAGACTTGTCAGGTGAGCTCAGCTGCTCCATCTCTCCTCACACAGCTCACAGGATTCTTCCCTTTAAGCCTTTTGTTGTGGTAGCTGTTTTCTGGCCTGCCCCAACACCATCTCCCGGATCACCCTCCAAATTAAGGCCACTTTCTGCTGGTCACATGCCTGCCAAGCCTCCTGCAGCCTGTGCACAGCCTGGCTGCAGCCACTGCAATGACAAGTGCTATTTCCTTTCCTTTGAGGAATTTACTTAAGGAATTTTCCTACATCTGCACCAGAGTAAGCATCTTGGCAGCAATTTTTTTTCCCCCCCTAGTTCACCAGGACCCACAAACTTTGCTGAAAACACAACACTCGAATATAATTTCTGGTCAATTTAAATGAAAAACAGGTTTCAGAGCTTTCAAATGAAGGGGTGGAGGAGGAGGTTTGGGCCTGGAGCCTGGGATGGAGCCAGGGATTTCTCCCACTAGCATTCCCCTATCTGCCCAGGAAACAAACTTGTGTTTAAATATTGACTCTCCTGCAGAAAACTGGGATGGGTGGGGATCGCTGCTGTTCCGTGCCTGAGTGGTTTATCAGCCTTCAGTGGAAAACAGAGATTGCTGGGACTTTGGCCTCATCTGCTCCCAGCTGCCTGGGGGAGAAGGGAGGCAGCGGCGGCAGCCGGGAGAGGGAATCTCAGGTCAAGGCTGGTCTGTCTCTCCGCAGGGCTTGGATGCTTGGGTCTGGCAGGATCTGGGAAGCAATGAGATGCTGGTACAGCCTTCGTGCCTAGGGAAGTGCAGCTGAGCTCAGAGCAACCGCATCGTCCTCCCCTTTCCCTGCAAACCCATCCTGCTACGGACCCTTCGGTTCAATCCAAACCCTCTCCCATGTGGAGCTGGGAGAGAAGCATCCCAGGAAGCCTCTCCCAGTGCTGTGTGGTGCCTGTCACCCTGGTGTCTGGCCAGGGGGAGGGTCAGGGGCTGCCAAACCCCCCAGCTGCCATGGAGGGCCCCGTCTTGTGGCCGTGCATGAGGAAGTGCCCTGCAGCACAGCTGCCCGTGATAAGGCTGTTTGCACTGTTCTCCTGCAGCGCTGAGCTCCACGTAGGTAAATAATGCCTTTAAAAAAATTACATATATAAAATAATAACCCTTGAGGAGGAGATCCTGCCGCCGGGGTGGTGGGAACGGCTGGTGCCAGGAAATGCGGAGGGTGGGGACTTGGATCAGACCCAGCACCAGCAGCACAGTGGCCAAGGAGCTGTCCCCTCTCTTCATGTCCTTGGTGGGAGTGGGGTGGCCCCATCCCCTGGGATGGCTTTCACCCAAAATGAGGTTATGGAGGAGCTAAGTCCTGCTGGATTCTTCCCCCCTGGAGAAGAGAAATCCCAGCTGGAAACAAGGAGAAGAAGCCATGAAGGCACGGGGGGAAAGCTCATCGCAGTGGCCTGACCTGCCACGCTGGCAGTGCCAGCTCCGTCCGTCGCTGGTGGCTGGTAAGAGGATGGGGAAGAGAGTGGGGAAGTTGCTTTCCATGCTCCCCCTTACCTGCTGTGAGCCTTTCCTGCCGGGAAACTCCCTCAAATCCCCCCCGGGCTGAGTGCCACGTGCTCTCCCGGGCTGGCAGCGCTCGGTGGGGGGAGCTGGTGATGCTTTATCCCACCTGGGGGAAGAGGTGGCAGCACGGGGTCAGCCAAGACAGCCACCGTAGCCCCTGCACAGCTCCCTTGGCTCTTGCACAGCGCTGGGCCCCCCATCCTGGGGGAGAAGCAGGAGGCCCAGCGAGCTGGGGATGGGGGAAAACTCAGCTCTAAATTCAGCTCTAAATTCAGCTCTCTCCCCCTGCTGTGAGCCGACGGCTGGGCCGGCCGGGGCGAGGGGCCACATGGTTGTTCGAGGCTCTGACCCTTGCTGCAAACATGTGAATCCTCTCATCTCTGGGAATGGAGTTTCTCCCTTAAAAGCCGCCTGCGCTCTGCGGCTCTTGTCAAGCTGCCAGAGGAGGCCGGAGCAGCGTCACATGCCGCAAAGTTTTACAAGGCGAGAGAGCGTCTGGGGAGAGGGACGGGAGAGGGGACAGACGCACGCACGCGGAG